TTCCAAGTTGATTTACTGAATAATCTATTGAACTGCTGTCCTGTAATCATCTCATTATTATGTCTTGTAAAATAATGTTTAGTATTTTACCCCGTGCCCTATATTTTGCCAGTCATGTCATGTTTTATGATTTTATGTTTTATGTTATGTTTGTACAATTTTGTAACAAAAAAATAAAGAGAGAGAAGGGGGGGGCGGGGAGAAGGAGACGGAAAAGATAAGAAAAACAAACCAGGTGGTTCTTCCCCCTCAATTCTATCATCACAACAACCCTGTGAGGAAGTTGGACTGGGAGATAGTGACCAGCTTGAGGTGACCAAATGGGGAATTGATCTTGACTCTAGTCCTGATGTAACCATGGACGCTAACTCTTGGGGGACCAAAAAATTCAAACCCAGTGTAAAATAACATTTTGTACGCTGTCCGTATTATTTTCCTACTATGTCACGTTTTCAAAGGCACCAGATGGTGTCTTGGCTTTTTGTGCAATTCAAAGCTAATAATATTTCATAGAAAAGGCAAACACCAGTGGTTTAAGTGTTCCTGGTTTCACACAGTATTAGAGATTTTCAGGAAAACGCTTGATGGGTTTGTTTCTCTAAATACAGAACTTGAGCATATGGTACATCAAAACCAGAAGGCTTAGTAATATGAGGCAGGCAGATGAACAGTTTGGCGGGCAGGATGTAGGCAACTGCAATCACAAACAAAGGGAAATGGTGAATGAAGGGAAAGCCTGATGTTACCATGGAACTCATTTGCCCCAACAGCTTCAGCATGGGTGGTTTCTTATTGGTGATATTAAAAATTGAATTAATTCCTCAAAACCCTATCTTCCTGATTCCTATAGCTCTCTCACACGAGGTTAGACATTCCCCAAGTGTGGGTCTGGACACGATAATGCACCACATAAATTAACTGAAGGAAATAGTACCCTGAGACCAAAGTACGTATCTACGGAGGAAGCTGCCCAATTCATCTCTAGATGAGTCACTAGGCTAACCTTGGTGCCTTTCAATTGGTTTTTCCTGGAAGATGAGTATCTTGCAACTTTGGTTGTGGGTGCATCATTCAATCAGTTCTGATACTGAAAAGTTGTAGAATTACAACCCTCCTTTAGAGGAGGCTGCCTGTTGCATATTGTTACACAACACCCCAATCTACGAACCGTGTGAGATTCCAGAGGTTCCAGGTTCAGGGTTCATGTTTCCTTTGGGAAATGAGGCCCAGCAGAGACTGGTTTCAATATGATAAATGGTTTATTTACACATATAGATGACTTGAGCTGGAGGGGCTCACAGCATTACCCACCAAGAGGTTATTTTTTCTCCATGACTTCAATTTCATGACTCACTGATCCAGACCTACCATCTCTGCTACTTGACCACTGTGTCCAGAACAGTGATGCACACAAGCACAGAAGTCAACTGTTCTGAAGTGTAATTCTTGCTCTTAATACTCTAAAACTTGGGGGGGTAGGAGTGTGCCAGTCAACTGTGCATTGAATTTTAATTCAGAAAAAATATTGGTTGCCTTGGTTATCAGGAATCTGAGAAAAACAGGTGAGTGCTAGCGGATTCTAAGGCCAGCTAAAGTAAAATATACTGGAAAAGAAGTACAATAGGAAGATGCGAAGATTCTTCTAACAGCATACACATTGAAGATGGACCATAGCTCAGTGGCGGAAGGTCCCAGGTTTAGTTCTTGGCATAGGCAGGTTGGGCTGAAAAAGAACCCCAATATTTGACAGCCACTGAGAGCCAGTATTAAAAATGGACTATATTTAGGTAGGGTTAGTGTTGATGTTAGATTTGGGTTAGGGCTGGGTAAGCGTTGAATTATGGTTAGGGTTAGGATTAGCATTAGTGTTAGTGTTGGGTTAGGGTTAGGGTTAAGGCTGAATTAGGGTTAGGGATAAGGTTGAATTAGGGATAGGGCAAGGGCAATGGTTATGGTTGGGTTAGGGTTGAATTAGGGTTAGGAATGGGATTAGAGTTAGGGTTAGGGTTGGACTAGGGTTAGGGGTTGGGGTTGGGGTCAGGGTTGATTTAGGGTTAGGGTTGGGGATGGGATTAGAGTTGGGGTTGGGTTAGGATTAGGGTTGGGTAAGGTTTGGTTTAGGGTTGGGGATGGGGTTAGGTTGATTTAGGGTTAGGTTTAGGGATGGGGTTAGGATTAGGGTTGAGTTAGTGTTGGTTAAAGATAGGTTTGGATTAGGGTTAAGGTTGGTTTAGGGTTAAGGTTAGGGTTGGGGTTGGGTCAGGGTTGGTTTAGGGTTAGGGATGGGGTTAGAGTTTGAGTTAAGGATGAATTAGGGTTTGGATTAGGGTTAGGGTTATGGTTGGTTTTAGGGTTAGCGTTAGCATTAGTGTTTGGGATAGGTTTGGATTAGGGTTGGGTTGCGTAAGGGTTGGGTTAGCATTAGGGTTCAGGTTTGGGTTGAATTAGGGTTGGGGTTGGGTTAGGGTTAGGGTTAGGGTGAACAAAGGTCCCCCCCTTGTTGGCCGTAGGAAGGTTCGTTTAGGATTTTGCAGCCCTTGGATGGGTTGTGATTTCTTGTAATTGGGTAATGTGGCTTTTCATGGTACTCACGTATGAGGTGATGTACTTTCTTTTCACAAGGTTCTCTACGCTAGCCATTCCTCCTTGTTTTTATTATAGAGTGTTTCTTTGTCAACCTGACTGGGTTGCTCTGACCTATCAGGAGTAAACATAGACCACTGGTACCAAAATGTATGGGAAACCGCCCTATTAGAGGAGTTACAGTTAGGGAAGGGTTGGAGGGTGAAAAATGCATAGTGGAAGATAGCAGTGTTTAGGGTAGTCTGGACCACATGGCTTTCAGCCGATGAGACCTGTGTCTTGGCTGCTCAAGAGCAGGCCACCCCCCTCGCTTAAGGTCAGTGAGACAATGTCAGGCACCTTAAACAATGTTTTCAATAGTAATGGCAACATTGTGGGTTCTTTTGGGCATAGGTTGGTTGTGTATTTGTATTTGCTTTTAGCCTGTTAGTGACTTGTCTTGATGGGATGAGGGGTATGATGGTGTATGAACAAGTGCAGCTGCCTTGTGTTGCTATGGGGTCTGATGGTGAGTGCTGAAAATGGGACACTGACCTGAGACAGTGGTGGGTGGTGGGCATCCCTTAGTCTCTGTTGTCAGGCATGGTCTGCGGGTGCTGGGGGTGCCCATTGGAGTGGACATTGGCCAATGGGGCCACGGTATGCCTGCTGGGCTCTTGTACCCAAGGTCCACGCAGTGGGGAGGGAGGAATCATAGGAAATATTGCTGCGGTTGAATCTGACTGCGTAATTCATTTTCCAAATCCTCAAGTTGTTATATTTAATAAATATAACCTTGTTATCTACATTGGGTTGTCTTGACTTGGCTTCCTGCTGTGCTGACAACTACTTCATTTGTGGGGCACGGCAAGACATGTGGTTTTCGCTACAAAACTTTTGGCAGACTTTGGCACCAATTTGGAGTGAATCGGACATTGGGTTTTGGATGTTAATTACGAGCCCCGGTTTGATATATCCATTACTCTATTTGTGGGGTGCTACAAAACGTGGGGTTTTCGCTGCAAAATGCTGCAAATGTTTGTCAAACTTTGACACCAGTTTCAATGGGATCCCAGATTTAGGGGTTCATAGTTATTGAAGCTCAGGCTAGATTCAACTAAACAATTGCACTTGTGGGAGCCAGCACAATGGGGCTTTGTCCCCCACCCCTCCCCTGTGCCCTGGAGGAATCAGAAGAACCCCCGGAATAGTGTGCAGGGGAGGAGAGGGGGAGGAGTCCAGCAGAAGTGCTTGGGCCAGTGGAGCCATCTCCTTAGCACTACAGTGGATGCTCAGGTTGTGAACATAATCCGTGCGGGAAGCATGTTTGCAACCTGCAGAGCTGTATGTGTGGGTCACGATTTGGCACTTATGCGCATGCGCAAGGCGCGATTTAGCGCTTCCGCACATGCGCAAGCGCCAAAACCCGGAAGTAACCAGTTCCGGTATTTCCGGGTTCGGCGTGGTGCGCAACTTGAAATCGCGCAACCTGAAGCGTCTGTAACCCAAGGCATGACTGTACTTTGAATGCCACCTTGAATTCCACCTGGCTTCTGGCAATGCTAGCAGCCCTGGGACAGCCCCTTCTCCCTCCCCTTCTTGGTGCTACCTTGACCTGGGATGATAACAACAAAAACAAAAATGTTGCTAGCCCAGAACTGGAAAGAGGGGAAGATATCAACAAAAGAAGAATAGATAACTAAGATGGTGGACTATGCCGAAATGGCAAAGATCAGAGATCAAGATGAGAAAAAGTTTGAGCAGGAATGGAAGAAATTTATAGACTATTTAAAAGATGACTGTAAATATATTAAAATGTTAGCAGGTTTGATATAACATCTATGTGACTATATAATCAGAAATCAAGATAAATAAGAGGGAAAACAATGAGTTTGGAGATGAAGTGCAATGTAATAAATTATGGGGGGGGGAGATTGGAATCTAGGGGAGGGGGAAGTCTATATTGCATCTTTTGGAAAAGTATTGAATTTATGAATTATTGTGACTATAAAATTTTGAAAATAATATATATATATTTTAAACACACACTTGCCTGGCACCTATAGTGAGCAAGAGGAAACCAGCTGAAGAAGCTGGCCAAGATCTCCTCCCCTCCCCCCATTCCAGGCCCTTCCTGACGGGCCACAGGGGAGTGAGGCCGGCATTCATGAGCAGGTAGGCCAGTCAAAATGCTTGTGCCCTTACTTGCCAGGCTGCTTTAAACTGTAAAAGCACTATGTGTGCATCTGTGTGTGCATGCATGTACCTGAGAGAGTTGCATATGAGAGTATGGGACTGTGGGAGGATTGCTAATGCTCATGCATATGTCTCTGTGCCCATCTCTGAAATAAAAAAATGAAAACCAAGAGGAAGAACAAAGAGAATAGTATATCAGGCAGTTTTACAGATGTTTGTAACTCTGTGCAACAAGACTTTGACTAGTTAAACCAGGTGGAGGCTTGGTGCAGCGGCAGCGTGTAGGGGCCAGATGCAGCAGCTCAGCAAAAGAGCCGCCTCACTCCACCCTTTTTGTCAGATGCTTGAAGAGGCAGTTTGAAAAGGCAAATGTTGGCCCCTGCAGCCTCCCTCTATTGCTTGTCCTTAGCTTCTCTGCCATTGGGTTCTCCAAGGGTCAGCATCCTAAGAATTAAAGAGTAAGGAAGCTGTCAACTGGGGCGGGATCTACACTGATCTAAAAAAATATGCTGTACAGCGCCCCCTGGTGTCACATTTTATTAACACATTTATAATGTTATAACTCACCAGTCTAAATTAGTCCCAGGTGAGAGTCAGAGGCAAGGTGCCTAGTCAAAAGCAGGCAGAGGGACACAATTCAGGGAGGAGTGAGTAAGGAGGATTTTCCTACACATGGGGTGCAGGTGTGTGAGCAAATGTGCGGTCCATGTGGTAAAATAATATGCTTCCAGTATGTAAGAGGAATTGATTGATAGATTTCTAATCCATTCTTCAAGGAAATTCTTCACAAAAGCAGCTTACAAAATGAACCCAAAATGCAACAGATAAAATCTGATTTGGCACAATTTAACACATCTACTCCACCTTACCTTTCACTGTTTCCCTTCTCCTTAATTTTCACACGTTTATAATAAACATATAATGTCCCCTCTTAAAATGTATTTCTTCTGTTCAAAATGTGCATTTTGATGCAACTAACAAAACCACCCCAAAACATAATCAAATTCAACCATGATATAATAGAAGATTCATATTACTCAGTAGCTTAATTGTGAGAGCAAATAATTGTGATATTCAGTAACTAAGGGTGGTTGGTAGGTCCAGAGGGAGGAATCGAGTATTTTTATTTGTAGAGGAAACATGCAATCTTCATATTCAAAAATGCAAAAACATTTTAACAAGTTTAACACACGGAAGTTCATTAAGTTTAAAATTAAGTTTATTTCAATACAGGAGTTAAACATATGCTTAAATCTTTCCCATTGAAATCAATCGGACTTAAAATGCTTACGTTTAGTTGGACACTGCTGTGTGTAGTTTGATTTTTGGGGAAGCTGAGTCCCATGTATGTTTATTTGGAAGCCAATCGTATGGAATACAGTGGTGACTTACTCCTAAGTAAATGTGTGTTGTAACCCAACCTTAATCTCTTGAGTTGGAGGAATGCGGCTTGTTACATTTACACTCTCCTTCCAAACCGTATCACTTTAATCTCCTCCATAGACTTTTCCAGTAATGCCTACTGGCAATGGAAAAACAAATTAGCTGAAGTTCATTTATTTTCTCCATAACACTTTAACTCTTGGGGAACTTAACACCAAAAGCAAATCAATGGGGGTCAGTCACTGCAGCATATTTACAAAGCCTACAGTCTTCTGGGAATGGAGGTGTTAACAGCAAGGTTTAGTTGCAGTCACTGCTAAAATACAGAAACAAAAGTTGTCACTGGCCCAGGCATTAATCTTGCTAGTACTGGGCCATTGGAAGGTTGCAGAGTGCATGTTTTAGGATAGGAGAATAAAAACATTTCTCCAAGCGTGTAGACTGTTTGTGCTATTTTCATGTTACTTTTCTAATGCTTTCAAACTTCAGGGTTAGTTCTGCTGCAGGAATGAGAACTTTTAGAGCTCCTGAATGCTCAATGCTCAATGTGTTCTTCCCAATCTTGTTGCAGCCCCCCCCCCCGCGATGCAAGAGTCCAGGGGCTTCAAGGGCTTTCCCAGGGTTTGTGCTTCCTTTGGAACAAGGGACAGTGGTGCTTTTATGATATATGGTTTATTTACACATACCGTATTTTTTGCCCTATAGGACGCACTTTTTCCCCTCCAAAAATGAAGGGGAAATGTGTGTGCGTCCTGTGGGGCGAATGCAGGCTCCTTGGCTTCAGCGATAGCAAAACGAAGCTTCCCAAGCCTGCGCTCCGGAGGCTTCGCGTTACTTTGCTGAAGCCAGGAGAGTCTGCTCTTTGAGGCTGGTGGTGGGGGAAAGCAGCGCTTCCCCCCACCGCCAGCCCCACAAGCTTGGGGGTCAGCGGGAAGGTGGAATTCCCCTTCTCCCTCCTGCGTGCTTTTGCAGGAGGTGGGGGAATTCCCCCACCTCCCACAAAAGCAGGCAAAAGCCGTGCGCTCTTTAAAGGCTGTGCGGCTTCTGCTGGCTTTTCTACGAGGTGGGCGAATTCCCCCACCTCGTAGAAAAGCCTGCAGGATGCCGCGCACCCTTTAAAGAGCGCACCGCTCTTGGGGGCTTTTCCCCGAGGAGGGACAAGGGACTGACTGGCCGTTTCAGTCCCTTCTCCCTCCTGGTCGAAAAGCCCGCAGGAGTCACGCGCGGCTCCTGTGGGCTTTTGCGGGAGGTGGGGGAATTCCACCACCTCCCGCAAAAGCAGGGAGAAGGTCTTGGAGTAGCGGACAGGCTGCACGCAGAGCTGCGGGGGGGGATCATATTTTTTCCCTTGATTTCCCCCCCTGAAAACTAGGTGCACCCTATGGGCCGGTGCGCCCTATAGGGCGAAAAATACGGTATATACAACCTGAGCCTACGATGGAGGGGTTCACAGCATTAGCACCCCATGAGGGTCTTGCTTCTCCCATAGTCGCAGCCTTGGAGTCAAACAGAAACCAGGCATCTCTCTCACCGATGGAAGCGAAAGCCTTGAAAAAGCTCAATATGGAGGTCAAATGGCCGAAATATTGGGAAATTTTAGAACAAGATGGAGATAGATTGAAACTGCAGAGTTTTGAAAAACTAAAAAATAAAGTGCAAGACTGGCTTCATTATTATCAGATAATGGAGGCATACAATTTGGACAAGAAAATTGGCTTCCAGGTGGAAAAATCAAAATTAGAAACAGAACTGTTAGAACCCAAAACTAAGAATTTGTCAAGAATGTATAACTTGCTGCTGAAATGGAATACTCAGGATGAAATGGTGAAATCTGCTATGATTAAATGGGCACAAGATGTTGGACATAATATTATGTTTGCTGACTGGGAACAGTTATGGACCACAGGTATGAAGTTTACGGCATGTTATGCCCTAAGAGAGAATATTATGAAAATGATATACAGGTGGTACATAACCCCAGTCAAGCTTGCAAAAATCTACCATTTGCCCAATAATAAATGTTGGAAATGTAAAGAAACTGAAGGTACATTCTTTCACCTTTGGTGGACGTGCCCAAGGATTAAGGCTTTCTGGGAGATGATTTATAATGAATTAAAAAAGGTATCTAAATATACCTTCTTGAAGAAACCAGAGGCCTTTCTCCTGGGCATAGTCGACCAATCGGTGTTAAAGAAGGACAGAACTTTCTTTATGTACGCTACAACAGCAGCAAGAATACTTATCACAAAGTATTGGAAGATACAAGAACTTCCCACGCTGGAGGAATGGCAGATGAAACTTATGGACTATATGGAATTGGCGGAAATGACTGGCAGAATCCGTGACCAGGGAGAAGAGTCAGTGGAAGAAGATTGGAAGAAATTTAAAGATTATTTACAGAAACATTGCAAAATCAATGAATGTTAGAGTGATGTTGGATTGAAGTTAAGTGGCTTCTAGCTGAACAGGTTTTAAAGCTATAAATATATCAAGATTAAGGATTAGGACCAAAAAGACTAAGAGAAATGGAAAAATTGGTTCAAATAGGTAAAAATCTAATGTCATATTAAGATTTAGGACTGGAATTAAAAAGGAGAGAAAGAAATTGCTGGGCTTACAAACTGAATTGGAATACAAAAGAGGGAGGTATGAGGAAGTCCGGGAAACAAGTAAATCTAAAAGAGGTTATGAAAGGACGGAACTATTTTTAACTGTTTTTTCTTTTTTTTCCTTTCTTCTTTTTTTTACTTTTTTCTGTTTTGTACTTTGTATTTTGTATGGTGTATTTTTCTTTGTTTTTGTTAAAATTTTCTTGTTTATTAATGTGATTTTATTCTTTCTGAAACTTTAATAAATATTAATTATAAAAAAAGAAAAAAGAAACCAGGCATCTCTCTCTCTCTCTCCGGCTTCGCAGTCTGCTGCTTTTTCAACAGAACCCTCTGTTCTCAGCTCTGCCGTTGTCCTTCTAACTACCCACGAGTTGAGGAAGGGGCCACACACATATTTGTCCTCCTGCACAGATCCACTTCCTTTGTTCCCTTTAATGACCCACCACTTCACCAGGAAGGTAGCTTGGCTATTCCAAGAATTGGAAGGGAATTCAGGCATTGAGTCTACCTTCCTACCTCCCCCCTCAAAAACCCCCACTGGTAATAATATTTTTGAGTCATTGGAAAGTGAATATCAGATCATTTCAGAGATAATATTTCAAATTGTGGCTCAATAGATTTGAATAGCTGAGCAATTCCAAAATATGTGTAAAAAATCTACAGTGTACCTACTGCATCTCCTACCCTGAGCTACTGAATATAGGCAACTCTCAATTTATGTGGGGGATACATTCCGGGAATAGAACAAAAAGGCAAAACTGTGTGTAGTCAAAACACACAGGGTTCAGTGGTGGGTGGGATAGCCAAAATCTTCCTGGATGCCACATTCCACCTCCTTTTAATTTTTTTTAAAAATTTTTTTGCCATGTGCATAAAGCTAAATGCATGCAAGTTATTGTATGTAAGTTGCACGTTACCCATGTATCTTAGTGAATGGGGTCAAATACTACTGATATCCGATCATTTTTTTAAAAAATCCTTTTTAAATATATCTATTGATATATTGATATATATCAATATATCTATTGATATATTATCTCTATTGACATAATTTGTGGTGCAATTTTAGGCCAAATCTATTTCCACTCTGCTTTATTTACATCCTGCTGTAACTCTGTATCTCATTTCATCATAAGCCTTTCAATTTTATTATCCAGATTTGTGATTGTAGAATAATTTTTGCCAATTAAACTCTTTTTGTTTTCTAATACCAATAAGATTTCAAATTCAGATTCATCCCCAAGAACTCCTGGTTTCTTTATTAAATGTAATAGTGCACCTCTTACTTGAGAACATTGACACAATTGTGGGCCAAAGCCTAATGTGACATTCAGAGAGGGGTACTTAAAGTGATAATCAAATGTTCTTGTTTTCACATGTACAATTTTGCAGGGCATACCCTTTCGTTTATTATTATATTTGCCACCATGGTGAGAATTATTTGTATTTTTTGCCTTGTGCATTTATTTTATTTATTTTGACAGATTTATAAACTGCTTAAGCAAAGAGTGGTCTCTAAGTGTACATAATAAAACTGTAGATAAAGCACAACTAAAACCTACACAACCATTATAAAACAAATATACATGAAATGATTATCATTAAAATACATATCAAATCAGAAAACAGTTTAAAACGAATATAGGTAACTATTATATGCCGAAGTGGGCATATAATTTTTATCAGTTGAGTTTTCATCACTTGCCTAAAATCTGAGAGTCCTTGGCAGCTGTGTGTGAAAGAAAAACTATTTGTGGAATTCTGAAGTAAAATCTACTTTAGAGAGGCACCTGGTTTCATAGCCTTATGCATAGGTTGTTCTATATATATTAATGGAAGAGAGAAAGAGAGAGAGGTTTGCACTGCTGCTGCAACCAACTTCAAAGCTCTCTCACTGCATTTCAGTGCCTCTCCTGTGGTCACCCAGGCTATGAACCTTCTTCACCATCAAAGCTGAAGAGCGGCTCATGAGATCATTCAAACATCACAAAAGAAATGGTCCCCATCCCAACACAAAGAGTGATGTTTCTGCTGCAAAATTTATTATGTGAAATGGCCTGAAGTTGACCTGATTTCTTTGGGTATCTGTACCTGTATATTTAGCTAGAACTGGACTCCCCCAGATCTTTAGAGAACTGCAGAACTGAATAGCCAAGCCACTTCAGTGACAGCTTCATAGTTCCCTTAGATGGGCCACAGGTGGCGCTATGGTCTAAGCCAGGGGTAGGCAACCTAAGGCCCGGGGGCCAGATGCGGCCCAACCGCCTTCTCAATCTGGCCCACGGATGGCCAGGGAATCAGCGTGTTTTTACATGAGTAGAATGTGTCCGTTTATTTAAGATGCACCTCTGGGTTATTTGTGGGGCATAGGAATTGGTTCATTTCCCCCAAAGAAATATAGTCTGGCCCCCCACATGGTCTGAGGGACGGTGGACCGGCCCACAGCTGAAAAAGGTTGCTGACTCCTGGACTAAACCACTGACCCTCTTGGGCAGGGGTCGGCAACCTAAGGCCCATGGGCCACAAGCAGCCCACGGAGGTCGTTTAACCGGCCCACGAGCCGCTTGCCAGCCGACCCACCCGCTCGATGAGTCCCCGCACAGTGCACTAAACCGGTGCAGCGCAGCGCAGCGCAGCGCAGCGCAGCGCAGCGCAGGGACTTGCTTCTGCGGCACTGGAAATTGCGTCTGCGCAGACGCAGGCACCGGAAATCACGTGCGCGATCCAGCCAACAGAGGGATCTCTGCTGGAGTGAACTGGCACAGGCGAGGTAAACCTGCTCTTGGGCTTGCTGATCAGAAGGTCGGTGGTTTGAATCCCTGTAACAGGGTGAGCTCCTGTTGCTCTCTTCCAGCTTCTGCCAACCCAGCAGTTCAAAAACATACCAGCGCAAGTAGATAAATACTTGGTGCGGCAGGAAGGTAAATGGCATTTCCATGCGCTCTGGCACTCGTCATGGCCCTCCATGCACCAGTAGCAGTTTAGTCCTGCTGGCCACATGACCCCAGAAAGCTGTCTGTGGACAAACGCCGGCTCCCTTGACCTTAAAAGCGAGATGAGCGTCACACCCCATAGTCGTCTTTGACTGGACTTAACCATCCAGGGGTCCTTTACCTTCACCGTATTACCTAGTTCCCTTAAATATCTTCTTTGAGGTGGGTTGTCTTCCCTTGCTAAGATTGACCAGAAATCTAAGTGTGTGGTTGGTTGGTCAAGATGGAGTTGTGGTGCTGTACAGAAAATACAGTTTACATTCTGAAAATCAGAAAAGGAATTCACCAGTGACCAATTCACCAATGACCATGAGCTTCTTAGCTACTCAGAAGTAACCTGAAGGGTGATGGTCTTTATGACATTTCTGGTTAACCTGACCCAGAGAATGCTTTTGCTAATGTCACTAGCTGTTCTGTCAAAGCCATTGTGACTTTCCGGCTTGTATGCATTTTCTTTCACTTACCAGAGCCCAGGCATCTCCCTGGTTTACAGGGAGGCTGTTTGGACAACAGCTAGAGAACAAGCAGAAGAACATGTTGGCCAAATATCATCATTTGGTGATATTGCAGAGCCATTGTACCTTTCTGTAATCTCTGTTTTATCTCTAATCCTACATTAGGCAGGGACTTGGACCTACATTCCCCTCTTCCTCTAAGATTTATATCACTTGATTGTAAAAAAACAAAATGATTAGATAAAACAATAAATTTAGGAAAAAATCACAACCATACTTAAAAACATAGAAAGATTTTAATTACCTAAATGACCTCCAAAGTCCTTTCCAAGTTCAGTAGTTCCACGAGAAGAGGGAGACACCTTAGGGCTAGGGCGCCTCACGTGTGTGCATATTGCTCACTGATTGTAATTAATCATAGAATCATAGAATCATAGAGCTGGAAGAGACCACAAGGGCCATCGAGTCCAACCCCCTGCCAAGCAGGAAACACCATCAGAGCACTCCTGACATATGGTTGTCAAGCCTCTGCTTAAAGACCTCCAAAGAAGGAGACTCCACCACACTCCTTGGCAGCAAGTTCCACTGTCAAACAGCTCTTACTGTCAGGAAGTTCTTCCTAATGTTTAGGTGGAATCTTCTTTCTTGTAGTTTGGATCCATTGCTCCGTGTCCGCTTCTCTGGAGCAGCAGAAAACAACCTTTCTCCCTCCTCTATGTGACATCCTTTTATATATTTGAACATGGCTATCATATCACCCCTTAACCTCCTCTTCTCCAGGCTAAACATGCCCAGCTCCCTTAGCCGTTCCTCATAAGGCATCGTTTCCAGGCCTTTGACCATTTTGGTTGCCCTCCTCTGGACACGTTCCAGTTTGTCAGTGTCCTTCTTGAACTGTGGTGCCCAGAACTGGACACAGTACTCCAGGTGAGGTCTGACCAGAGCAGAATACAGTGGCACTATTACTTCCCTTGATCTAGATGCTATACTCCTATTGATGCAGCCCAGAATTGCATTGGCTTTTTTAGCTGCCGCGTCACACTGTTGGCTCATGTCAAGTTTGTGGTCAACCAAGACTCCTAGATCCTTTTCACATGTACTGCTCTCAAGCCAGGTGTCACCCAACTTGTATTTGTGCCTCTCAATTTTTTTTGCCCAAGTGCAATACTTTACATTTCTCCCTGTTAAAATTCATCTTGTTTGTTTTTGCCCAGTTCTCTAATCTGTCAAGGTCGTTTTGAAGTGTGATCCTGTCCTCTGGGGTGTTAGCCACCCCTCATTGTCAATAAGCAATGTTTTTGTGTGTGTGAATGAGCTGATACAGATGAATGACCATAGGCAGAGTTTTCATATTTTCCACTGTCACTTCAAACCATGTTTTTTCTGCCCCAAGGGAGTCTGTTAACGCGTTCCTTTTTTCAGACATTCTACGACTGTGTTGAATCAACGTGTTAGCTGATACTAATTGTGTTTTTTGTAAAAAAACAACAACACAAAAAACCTGCATGTAAGATTCAAAGACCCAGTTTACCTTTATGACTAGTTTGGCCCCAAATTACCTCAAAGTAGGAAATTCTATACTGTAAACGTTGCCTGTAAGAGTTAGCTGACAGAAGTATAGTTACTTGAGTACAGGACACAGAACAGTATGCTTTCCACTTGCTCAATGTGATCTACTTTCGGATTAATTTGTTGCTAAAAAAGAGGGCCCTTTGCAGGTAACCAGAGGGTTGGTTGGTGAGTGCATTAAAATGGTGCTTCAGAAGAATAGGCCTTGTTCTCTTCCCAACTCAAGTACCCATAACTGATTATATTTGATGAATGAGTGAAAATGTTCACATGAGTCTGCAATCCCTGTGACAAGCCTAATTTTTCTGGTTGTAAAAATAGCCACCTTGGCTTGATGAGGCTCTACAAATCTGCGCTCTCTTCTCCCCATCAACATTACCCTGAGAGATGTGGGTTGTTCAACTATTTGGTTCATGTCCACACTCAGCACTCAAAAGTTCTGCCCATCCACAATCTTACAAGGCAAAGGAGCTGCCTCAGGCATCAGATTTTGGATTTGTGTAGATTTGATCCTGAAAAAATAATCTAGTAAAATATTCTTTAGGGCTTATGCGGGACAATGTCTTACTGTGTCCTGTGTTAAAATATGGGAGGGGAAGACATCATTTTTATTTCATTTCATACTTCAGGCACAACTGTGTTCTAGGCCGGCTGGCCTTGGCTTCACGTTGGCACCTATATAATTATAAACTTTTCAGTGAAATCTTCATGTTCCCATTTTTCTTGAAACAGTTTGGTGCTTTTAAAGAAATTCTTGATAATGTGGAGTTTTTAATAGCTTTTAATTCATTGGTTCATAATGTGCAAAGTCTTTGATTACAACACCCAACGTGATCAAAACCAACTTGGTTTTCTGTCATTTATTTTAAACTGCATCTGGGTAAAATGTGAGAACAACAAGAGTTGTATTTGAAAGAACTAAAGAAATGGAAAACAACCAGTGCTGTTTATTAGCGAGAAGGACTGCATTCTGAGCCTAAACAGTTTCCCCATCATGCTTGCTACTATTCATAATGTATTTAGGCCATTAAATTGTTAAAGATGCACCACACTTATTCTCCTCAGCTGTTGGTTTAAGCTGAAGCAAGCAAATGCAAACATGCAAGAAATCATAGAAAGTACTGTACCACTTGGGGCAGTGGCGGGCGGGCGATAGTGAGCACATTAGAGCGGTTCATGCAATGCATGTTAATTACTCAACATCAAGTGTTTTGTTTTTTGTTTCGTTTTACATTTTAGTCTCCCCCTTTCTCCAAGGTCAGAGGAGCATGCAAGCTTCTTCTCATACCCATTTTATCCCCACAACAATACTGTGAGGTAAGTTAGGCTAGGAGATAGTGGCCAAGATTACCCAGTAAAATTGACCTCTGTGTGGGGATTTGAACCTGAGTCTCCCCAGTGCTTGGAATGGAAACCTACAGGAGGGATGGATGGACCTGCTTACTTGCCCAAACACCTGGGCTGCACTGATTGGCCGTTACGTCAAACCCTAAAAAACCAACACCCAAACACATCAGTGTTCCTCAACCTAAGTGCTTAGCTTGAAAACTTTAGCAGTCCCACCACCTTTCTCAAACCCACACTAGTTCCTCCTCTGCCCACCTTATCAGTTTCCCTGTTCCTCAAGACAAAAGCAACAGGCCCTGCAGGAGGGGGCAAGAGAGGAAAGCAGGCGAGGAAAGGCCTGGGGGGGCTTTTTCCAGGGGCAAATGATGTTGTCTGCTGCCCAAAATCAGGGGGCCTGCAGTCAAATTCTATGGTTGGTAGGAAGTAATACCTGGAGCATGCCACTTGCTGTCAATGAGAGGCCCTTTGGAGATCCTCTGGACTAATTTTACGCCCTCCACAGTCCCCCCCCCCGCCCCCATATAAGGAATACTTTTCCCTTGGATATGCCAAGGTTTGTGGAGCAGATGAGGTGGGGTGTGAGCCTATTTTCAGTGGTAAAAGACTGGGCTAAACTCAAAAAGGGTTTGTGCCTTTGAGCAGAGGGGAATTGCAGTTTTGAGGCCCCCGCCTTTTCAAATATGTTAAAAGTCACCCAATATAAGTATTAAATCCATTACAAACGGATTCATACAAAGGGAAGACTGTTGCTGCTTTGAAAGTGGTTTCAAAAATGCATAATTAGAGAAGTCAGCCTGAAAGCAAAGTAGTGCAGATTATAATACAGCAGCAATTTTCATTTTAATAAATATGTATAATGTAAATAAGATATCTGCTCCATAAAGTCAATGGAAGTGCAGTCCATCATTTTGGAAGAGCATTGTTAGCAGCAATAATTCACAAGGCTTAATGGCATAGTAATGAGTTGTGTGGACAATCGTTCATAATGACACACTCCTAAGAGTACAAAGAACGGTTAATCAGTCACAATACATTTATCCATTCATTTGCCTTGAAATGAGTACAAATCTATAAACCTGAGCTGTGCATGTCCAGATGCAGCCCCAATGTCAGAGCAGCTGAAAACCCAGTAAATTATGGAGACATTTTGCATGCTTTCATGTACACTAATAATTGCAAATCTTTTCACTCTAAAGGATAAATTTAAGAAGGGCTTAATTCTGTTTCTCTTTTGGCAGATGCCACAATCCAGTGGAAAAATCTCTCATGGAAGCTCCACCAAAATGAATGGGAGAAATGCAAGAGCGCGGTAGGAACTCACATATAGACAGTATATTGGTCACTATTGCTGTCATCACTTGTCAAACCACATGAGGCACAGGCGGTCAGTTTCATTTGGTGTACATACATGCTGTTGATAATTAGCTGTGGCTAATGGATTTTGATGATGCTCATTATGTACCAGGAAACACCTTCTGATTTGATATAAAGAGAATGGGGCCTAATGTTTCCTATTACTGTCCGTAGTCACAAAAAGAACAGCTCAGCGTACCCTTTCAGGCACTGTTGTCCTAACTACAGAGTTTTGGCCTTTTAAATTAAAAGTTGAGTGTACCTGCGGGTGGTTGTTGGTGAATGATAGCAATCTTTGTGGCTGTTTGGAGGTAGTTAAAAGTGGTATCTGTTGTTCATCTGATTACACCCCCCTCTTGCTCTAGGGCGTATATGTCCATGCTAGGTTGGATCTGGATGTTACTATCTATGCATTTTTCTGCACACAAAGCATGCTTATCAGGTAGGAAATTGCTAATTATGAAGGAGTGCTTAGTTTAATATGGCAGCCCTGTTTAGGGAAGCTTTTAATGTTTGATGCATTACGGTATTTTAATATTTTGTTGAAAGCCGCCCAGAGTGGCTGGGGAAGCCCAGCCAAATGGGCGGGGTATAAATAATAAATTATTATTATTATTATTATTATTATTATTATTATTATTATTACCCTTCTGGTGTAGTTCCATCTGTGATGGGACTGCAATAAGAATATGTGATGGAAATGGATGTGTGGTATCATTTTGGGGGGGAGCTAGGAAGCTGCATTATCCTGAGTCGGTTCATGTTGCACTGAGCTTAGTCTGGGCTGTCCTGAGAGACAGGCTTTCCCCAGGCTTTCAGACTCCTCCCAGCCATGTCTGTAGATGTCAGAGACTGGACATGCATGCTGAATATGTGTTCATATTCAATTTTTTTCTTACGTGCACTGATGATAGTCATTGTTTGGATGGTGTGTTTTTTTTTAATCCATTTCTGCAGTCACACCATCAATCAGCAGCTGAACTGGGTTCCACACAGTCACAAAAACAAGTCACAAAAACAAAGTCACAAGTCACAGTCACAAAAACGAAAAAGCCACACAAACAAATAGCAAAAACAAATAGCAAAAACAAAAGCTCCAAATATCACCTCTGTGTTGCCTGGGTGCTTGGGACTCAGGACTCAGCCTCTGATTAGCAGTGGGGGACTCAATTTACAAATGAATATATTCGACAGGAAGCTGAACAAGGCAAAGCTCACAAAAAGGGACACCTACTTCCGGGTTTGCAGCGTTCTATTTCCAAGTTGTTCATAAACTAAGCTGTTCTAAAACCAAGGTACCACTGTGCTCTCCTTCCTGTTAAAACCCACCACACACAGTGACATGATCCTGAAACTTTGGGAAGTTCTCTTTAAAATGATCTACAACATGTTTAGGAACGATGAGCCTGTAGGTTGACATTTTAATGGAATGACCCTGTGATTTCAAGGTGTGATGTTTACACAGCCTTAGAGTTAAGAGAATAGAGGCATGGAAAGGTCATATGGTTCAACCTTGTAACCAGCCAGATATTCACAACAGAAACTATAATCTGGGGACCACAGCTGAGGACCTGCCAAGCTGTCAACATCTGTGGACAAGTCAAGCAAGGGAACCAAGCCACATGCACCAGTGACAGGTGACGCTAGTTATTATTATTATTATTATTATTATTATTATTATTATTATTTCCATGCCCCTTGTCTCCTCTGGACTTTGCAGCTCCTCCTACCTTCAGAGTTCCTTTCCATCATAACTGTTGGGCACATTTGTCTCAGCAAGTCTCTCACCATCATCTGACAGGCATCCCTCTTGCAGGCCACCATAAGGCTTGCTTGCAAAGCAGCACTTTGTGACATCAGCTGGCAAACAGGGGCCAGGCTGCTGGGTTGCCAGACAGCTGAATTCAGAAAAAAATAATCGGGGTGTCAAAGTGTGCTGGGATGAGGCCACCGTGAGTCAGGCCAGAGGGTGCTGTTGGGGTATGTGGTTGTGCCTCCCCTTGTTCTGCATCTTGCTCCCCCACCTATTCCTTTAGCTGCTTGATAGAATCATAGCATGGTAGAGTTGGAAGGGATGCCAAGGGTCATCTAGTCCAACCCTCAGCAATGCCAGGATCCTGCCCACAGCCAGTCCTGGCTGGGCTCCAAACTCCGGCCATCTTCTTACCAGCCAGATGCCCTGACCGCCTTGCAGTTCTGCATGGGGTGGAGAAAGGGGAGAGGAATTTTTTTGCTTTCTCTCTCAGGACATTGATATGAGAGCTACACCATGCAGCCCTGTCAATATCTCAAGGGCCGTCACAGGGAGGATGGAGCAAACTTGTTTTCGCCTGCTCCAGAGGCCCTCAGGACCTGAAGCCATGGCTTCAAGTTACAAGAAAAGAGATTCCGACTAAACTTCAGGAAGAACTTTCTGACAGTAAACGCTGTTTGACAGTGGGAAGGAATCCCCCGGAAAGTGGTAGACTCTCCTTCCTTGGAGGCTTTTCAGCAGAGCAGGGCCATCTTACTCATAGGCTGAAGGGGTGCAGGGCACCTGGGTGCCAGGCTCCCAGTGGTGCCAGCCTGAGAGTCTGGGGCCCGAGAGTTGAGTCCAGGGAAGAGCCTGCCCATCAGTTGGAGCGCGGTGGCGGCCTCTACTGCTGCAGGCGGCTCTGTGCGAGTTCGGGGGCGAGCGAGACAACAAGGCGCTGAGGCAGCCTGCCAGCTGAGCAGTGCAAGAGCCCATGGGGTTCCAGGCTCTCACCTTTGGAAAACTGAGACATGGCGGAGACTGTGGTAGCTTTAAGAAATATGGTTTGTTCACCTATCCAGATCTTACAGCAGGGTCCTTTTAAGAGGGACTTGTCCCCCCCCCCCCAGCAGGCAGCCAGCCTCCCCAATTTGGATTCCAGACTCTCTTCCTTCTTCTTCCGAGCACCTCTTGCTCAAAGCCTCTCTTTTCCTGCCACCTAAGCACCCAGTTATCCTGGCCCCCTTTCAAATCCTTCCTCTCTGTTCACACCGCAGGGCAAGGGAGAAAGATTTCTCTTGCATTTCCAGTTAGGCTCTCAGGGGCCTTGAATTGTTTCTTAATGGCCCTTGCAGCTTGTATTTCTCCATTCAAAACCCAAATAATCCCAAATCCTACCATTTTCAATTTCCAGGGTATAGTGGGATTCCACCCCCCAAAAAACCTATAAAAATATTGCGTGTAATAGGATAATTGAGGTGTTGCTATTAGAGTTCCAAAGGGAATGTAAGCAGGGAGGGAGGGGGGAAGAGAGAGAGTGGAATTCTGGGGGAGAGAGAAGCTTGGAGGAGGCTTGGAAAGGGAGAGTGAATGTTGTGGGGGGAGGCAGTTGAGTGTCGGTTGAGAGCGGAGGGTTCTAGAAGGGGGCACTTGGTGGGGGACCTGAAGCTGGGCTGGGCAGCTATTCAGCTTGGGATCAGTATGACAGTCGCCATCGCCCTTGTTTGACGGTGGCCAAAAAGGATCAGGGATACAGAGAGAGACTGTAAGTCACCTGTGGTGGCCAGGGAATGTGTCAGTCCCATGCCCAGCGGAGAGGGGCTCTGCCAGCTGCACAGGAAACAGAATTCCCTCGATTTAGGTGGGCCACGGAGCCAGGGCATGGTGAGCATTGCTAATGCTCAGATGCCTCACACCAGCCCCTCCAGTTACCTGGAAAGTAGCTCTACAGACCTGGGCTATGCCTGATTATCGTCTTCCCAAGCAACATAAAAATGTAATGCTGGTGGTCAACAAAAGAGGTTTAAAGACTCTCTCAAGGCAAAGAAATGTAGTATAAACAATCGGGAAACGCTGGCCTGCGAACGCTCCAGTTGGAGAACAGCCTTTACTGAAGATGTCATGGACTTTGAAGACACTCAAACTCAGAATGAAAGGAGGAAACAAGCTAAGAGGAAGGCATGTTTGGCAAACCTTCACCGTGATCAACTCACACCCGAAAACCTATGTCCCCACTGTGGAAGGTTGTGTGGATCCAGAATTGGCCTTCACAGTCACTTATGGACTCACTGTTAAGACCGTGTTCATGGAAGACAATCTTACTCAGCTACAAGTGATTGCCAAAGAAGAAGATAGATTTGGGGTCTATGGCCAATTTCATGGACATGGACTTCATGGAACACTCTTGGGAAGATGTCTCACATGTCCATGCTCCCCCTCCATCTGGTTGGTCCGTCATGCTCCCCAAAAGCCGGCACACACCTGGCAGGTGGAGGTGCACCTTGGGGAAAGGGCATAGAAGTCAGTGACTCCACCTGCAGGTGATCAGTTAAATATACTCGGAGTCGAGAGTTGATTTCATGCTCTTTATTCAGCTCATGGTGAGGAGGAATGGGAGTTCCCCCAGAACGTCTGCTTTATATACATTATTTACACAATGGGCCCCACGTGATTGGCTAATCCCGGCTTCTCCTGTAGGCCAATCAGGTTGCGGATTCACTTCCACCTGGAGCTGGATTGGGTGGCTCCTGTGGACCACTGCTGCATTTTGGATCCTATTCAACTCAGTACATAACAATCAGCCTCCAAGAACTCCGAGGAGAAGACGTTGATGAGAACCAGTTGGCTTCAGCCTTCTTAAGCAGAGCTCCCAACAGCAGTCAGAGAAGGCAGAGAAGGAAAGAAATAAAACAGCTTGTTATTTATTCTTTTTAACATTGTTTATTAAGAAATATTATTTGATTCTTGGCATATCAAAAGCAACCAGTTCCTCCAATTTATTGACTGAGCTTTAACATATGCCAGTGATGCCCTTCTCCCCGTGTCAGGGACTGGCACATTCAGGCAGCAAGCGTGGCAGCCCAGAAGACATGCAAGGCACTGAGCAGCATGGATTCCTTCAACGACTTGGAAGGACTTTACAATCCAGAAAGGCCAGACTGGAACACCACAGATGACGGAGTTTGGCTCTTGTCCATCAGCATGGGAAGCGGCAACAGAGACCATTCTCTGGAAGCGTGGCCCTGTGAAGGAAGAAGGTATCCTCCTGGCAGACGTGGAGAATGAATGCCCAATGCTCCTGCCCTGACATTGCTCCTAAAGAAAGCTTGACCAACCCACTTCAGAATGAGAGCACCTCCTTTCTACTCTCATGCAGGAAGGTTCTTTAACCTCTGTGAGAACACAGGGCTTCCACCACCACTGGCTAGTCCCAGTCTCAGCTCGCATGCGGCGCTACAGTTCCCAGATGGACGCAGAGTACAACTGCGAAGATTACAAAACTCAGGAGCCACCAGTGATTTTATGCCCTGCAAGTTTGCTCAGCAGCATGGTGTGACAATGTAATAACTGGGGAATCTGTGGACAGCAAGAGCCCATTCACATGAGAGCCCATACAATATCCTGCTTCCTCCACAGAGTCATGCCTCCAGGGATCAGGCTCCAGCTCCAGCTCCCAGGATGAAGAACCAGAGGACATCCTGGTGATTCCTGGCTGCCATTCCATGCGCCTCTTTCCCACTGCCGCTTCTCCGTGCGAGTATGGCTTCTTTCTGGCCCTGTTGGCACAGAAGCAGCAACCAAAGTTTCCTCTGATTAAGACCACATCTCAGCTAATTTCTGAGAAAGTGGCAAAGTGGGGAAAGGTTCAGGTAGGTGGAAATGCCACTTGTGTGCCCTATATGATAGGGATGCTTCCTTCCTGTGTCCCCCCCCCCATCCCCATGTGTTAGCATGGCTGGGAGCCAGGCACCTGCTGATGTTTCCATTTTCTTTGCAAGGACAGAGCCTTTCCCCAGTGTTTAACTTGTTCTGGCCAAATCCCTGGAGAGACGTGACAAGCCTCAAGTACCGGGGCAGAGGGAAGGAAGGGCTCCTTGGGAAACACATTTGGGAGTCATAGGAACACACTTCCCACCTGTGGTTGTGACAGCTGAATGGGCGTCTGAGGTGACTTTCTGTCCCTGGCGTTCAGTCTGTGATAGCCCTTTCACATGTTCAGGGATTCTTCTTTCAAAGCAGCCCATAGCGTAGAGTTGTCTCATGCTTCAAAGATACCTTCTTTCTTGCAGGAACAGCTTTGTGCACCACTGTGGCTCCTGCAGAAGCGCTTTGTGTAAAAAGTTGAGCATAAACAGAGAATGGAATAATAATAATAATAATAATAATAATAATAATAATAATAAGTGTCACCTGCCACTGATGCATGTGGCTTGGCTCCCTGGCTAGACTTGTCTACAGATGTTGATAGCTTGGCAGGTCCTCAGCTGTGGTCCCAATATTATATCTTCTGTTGTTAATATCTGGTTGGTTACAAGGTTGAGCCATATGGTCTTTCCATGCCTCCATTCTCTGAACTCTAAGGCTGCTTACACATCACACCTTGAAGTCACAGGGTAATTCCATTAAATGTCAGCCCACAGACTCATCATTCCTAAACATGTTGTAGATCATTTTAAGGAGAATTTCCCAAAGTTTCAGGATCATGCCACTGTGTGGGATGAGTTTAACAGGAAGGAGAGTATACGTTAATTGAAATTTATCCCTCCAGATACCCACAAATGTGAGATGAACAGAGTTTTAAAATCCCCTCCTTGACAGCAGAACTAAAAGCTTAGGAATTAGGCTGTGAAACCTTGTTTTGAGCAATTCCCGCTATGAAGTCAGCTGTCCACTTCAGAAAGAATCAGGCAGCAAGCTGAAAAGTTTAAAAATAAGCCTTCCTTACTTTATTATCATTCATTTTTTCATAGCAACAGTAGCAGTAAAACCTATGCAGGCAAGAGAGTGTTGTGGATTTGCAGGGGACACCCCTAAACCCTAGAGATTAATAAATGGTAGGATTTTGATAGTTTGGAGTATTGAAGGAAAGACTGGAAGTCAGTGGGAAAGTACAGGCTCAGATTTGTTTTTAAGCCAGGACCTCACCTGGGATAGAGACAGGAACATGCCAAAAGGGGTTGATGGCTCACTGGAGAGCCAGGGAGAGATTCCTGGGACCCCAGGGCTGCCCTGCTGTGGGGGACAAGCCCCTCTGGACAGGACCAGGCAGTCAGATCCGGACTCCCTCCACACTGATGGAAAGGGACAATGGGGAACAAAGTGTATTTTTAAGTGGTACGGCAGTCTCTGCCGTGTCTCCGTTCTCCCAAGGAACACGTACCCTGGGTGAGTGCCAGGACCCCCCTGGCATCTTGCAGAGTGTGGGGGTGGCAACCAGCTTTTGTAACAAAACTGACATTTACGTAACCAACGCCAGGCACATGCGCAAGGGGCATGTCTGCATCCAACACGGGCCCAAGGAAGAGAGAGAGGGAAACGAAGTACAATATGCTCCTTTCTCTCCATGAGATCAGGGAAAAGGACATCACACAGAGCCCTCTCTGCCAGAGTCCCTGCTTATCAGCACTGCAGCTCTGCAGACTTAGCTCCTTTTCATGCTGCAGGTTTTAAGGGAAAGGTGTCTAGCGGGGTTCATCTTGCACAGGGCAGGAGCATAGTGTGATTTCTTTTGTATTATTTCTTTGCACCATTGCTGCGTGTGACCCTTGAGAAAGAGGTTCCTGCCCCAAGGGGCTTACAATCTTTAATAAGACACAAAGAAAGGTTGAGGTCCAGAGTGGATCCTAAGTCCAGAGTCTCTGAGTTTAGACTTTGGGATTCCTGGACATTTCCCATCTGTAACCTGTTCCTCTATTTGTATTTTCCTTTCTGTCTCATACTGAGAGGCTGCTGTGGCGCCATGAAGTGAGGCAAGAAGGGGAAGCCGCCATGGAAGTAGAGGTATGTTAATTCCATGGGGAATCCATCCCCCCCCCCCGTGCCAGGAGGTCATGGTGCCAACCTGAGTGAAACACGGCTGGGGTGGGGGCAGGCCTGACTCCCCCCAGCTGCTCACCCCCCTCCTTCTGAGCCAGGTTGGGCCGTCATGTGCCCAGGCAGGAGCAGTGAGGTTGACAGCCAGTGGTGACGTGGACATGGGCAGCATGGCAGGGAAGCTTGTTCTGTCCCCCTCCTTGCCTGGGTCAGCTAGCCAGGCACGCTTGCCAGTGCTCAAGCTGTCCCTGCCATAGTTTGGGGGCTGCCCTCCCACAGGGCCCTATGTCCCCACCACAGGAAGGCCCTGCCTCCGCTGGCTCGCCTTCCCCTGTGCTGCTGCTGAGCTGCTCTGTGCCAGCAGGAGAAGGAGGAAAGTGGCTGGAGGGAGGCAGCAGATTGAGGACAGGAGGGAGCTGGGAAGTGGGGGGGGGGGAAGAGAAAATATTGAGGGCGATGTGCCCCAGAAGAACATTACTGGGGAGGGATCCCTGTCCCCTAGAGTGGATTCCTGTGCCAGGAGAATACTATGTCCTTCTTCCTTCACATGGCCGTGGTTTGGGAAAGGCTCTGGCCAAGCAGTAGCAGCAGCAGCAGCCCAGCGGTGCCGTGGGGAAACCCAGAATTTGTAGGTATGCTGAACAGGCTGGCCGGGATGGAGCCGAGATGCCCGTGCAGAGGCCAAGTGGGAGAAGTTAGTAAGATCTGGTAGGGAGAAATGCCCCCTTCCCAGGTTCCCCACACTCCTGCCCCAGACTGGGAGCCACGTCTTCCTTTGCTTTGCAGCAAGGGAAAGATGCAGCCTGGGAGCCGCCGCATCCCGGGAGGGACTGCACCCAGACAAAGGACACCTGCCTCAGAGGTACGGGGCGGGGGAAGGAGGGAGGCCTTACGAAACACACGAGAAGGGTCTGCAGGATCAGGCCAAGGCCCACTTGGTCCAGCCTCCTCTTCTCCCAGGGGCCACCCAGATGCCTGTGGGAAAGCTGCAAGCAGAATTTGAGCCCCAGAGCCCTCTGCCCACCTGGGACTTCACGCAAGTGCTTTTCTGAATCATTGTTTCCTCCATCAGGACTAGTAGCCTTTCACTGCCCTCTCCTATGCAGTCAGAGATGCTCTTCTGCTGCATCTCATGGTCATCTGTTGGCTCCTTCAAAAAGGCGGCTCTTGTGAGCTCAGCAGTGGGCTCTGCTTTAAGTCCCTGGGGTGGGTGTGACAGATGAATGGGCATCTGCCATTGTGTCCTGAGACCTTCCAGAGCAATTGCTGCTCTCTCTCTCTCTCTCTCTCTCTCTCTCTCTCTCTCTCACACACACACACACACGCAGAGTAATGTGTAAGGCAGATTTCATGCTGCTGTCTTGTAAAACACAAGCATTCATCAGAGTTCAATGTCAGTGTTTTGCTTAAAATAGCATTCAGTGCGGTCTGAGGAGTAATTTTGTTGTTGCAGTTATCTAATATTAATATTTAACATTAAAACATTGAGATATTTTCTAATGAGCTAGTTGTATACCCTCTCCAGAGTCTTTAGCCTATATCTAAGATAGAAGCCTGGAAAGATTTCCCTGCCAAACTTGGCCTGCAAAGGCTGGGGGAGATAACAATCTGAGCCACAGAGCCAAGAAGGCTTCCCACCCTTGTGATAGGAAAACAAGCCACCAAAATACTTTGGTCATGTTAGGCATCCATTGTGGAAAAGAAGATTTCCGTTTGGGGAGTTAATTTTCGCTGACACAGAAGGTGAAAGGGCCTGTGGCTCAAAGATAGCTGTTGCTGAATCACTTGTTTCTTGCAATATAAGGCATTAATATATATATATCATCATGTACACAAAAAGAGAGAAACCCCAAGAATGAAGGAAACAAGCTGAAGGAAATCTTGAGGAGACAGCTGAAGAACCTCTAGGATTCCCTGGCAGGACAATTAGTTCCAGTTGCTTTATTATTGCTGCCATTTGCTGGAGCCTCTAGGGCACGATGGTTCAACTTTTCATACTAAGTGGGCCACGCGACTACTTTGACACAGAACCTACAGGCCACACACTGCCTTCCTGCATGGGATGTGAGGAGCAAGCCCAAAATTTGACACCCCACCCTCCAGCTTTGGTGCTGCCTTCCTATAGTAACTCCTGGGTGGTTGCCAACTCATCTATGAATTCTTCTGCGGATGGCACTGACAAGGTGTCGGTTGGTGATGGAAAGGAGCGAGGATTGTATCCATAGCTAGTGAAGAAGGGGACCTGCTGAGTTGAAATATGAAGGGCGTTATTGTACACGAACTCTGCTAAAGGGAGATTGGTTACCCAATCATCTTGCTGGTAGTTTACTGTCAGGTGCTGGCGTGGTTGCTCAAGAATAAACAGGCAAGACTCCAACCTTAGGGTTATCATGACCTTGGCTCTAAGGTCACCCACTGGAGCATAAAGAGCTTCTCCTTTGGACAATAGTCCTTCTTTCTCAGAGAAGCTCTCTGCCCCGTTGGTGTCTCCTTGCAACATTGTTAACTTGCCTCTGGCGAAGGCATCCTCTCGAGTTTGCCATTGGAAGTCTGCGTCGTCCCCCACTGATCCTGCAGCCAACTGTAGCTGTGTTGGCTTCAAGATATGCCTATGTACTGAGACTGGTTCATCCTCCTAGAAAGGGCATCCGTCCCCTGATTCTGCCTGCCTGCCACATGCTGGACTCTGAAATCAAACCTGGCAAAGAACTGTGCCCAGCGAATCTGTCTCCGATTCAAATGCCTTGTCGTCTGCTAATACTCTAGATTACGATGGTTAGTGCGCACCTCTACCTGGTGGTGCGCCCCTTCCAGGAAGTGTCTCCGCACTTCAAAGGCTTCCTTGTTCTTCCAAATGGTGTAGTTCTGCTTGGAAGGAGTCAGCTTCCTAGAGTGGAAGGCGCATGCCATCTGGGTCTGCCTGCAACAACATCGCGACTTCTTGCCCCTCAAACAATCTGTGAGAGGTGTAGCAAGCCTCGAATAGGCTGGCACGATCTTGCAGTAGTAGTTTGTGAACCCCAATAATATCTGCAGGTCGTTCTTTCTTTTGGGTTCCTGCCATGAAACCACACTCTGCACCTTAGCGGGGTCCATGTACACCCCCTCAGGCATGAGTCTGTAACCCAGGAAATCTACAGTTGAGATGTGGAATTGGCACTTTTCCAACTTAGCATAAAGCTGGTGTTCTCTCAATCACTGCAGCACCTCTGTCACATGCCAGATGTGTTGCTCTGGGTCCTCTGAATAAATCAGCACACCATTGAGGTGCACCACCATGAACCTATTCATTAGACCACTGAGGACATAGTTGATGAAGGCTTGGAACGTTGCTGTCCCTGACTGAAGTCCAAAGGGCATGACCAGATATTTGAAGCTGCCGTTTCTGGGGCAGAACATCATTTCCCACTCATCTTCCTCATTCCTGACAGTGGGTGACATACTACAGGACTGGCAAGTTGCAATCCAGAAAAAAGCTTGGAACTTGATACTAATCCCTCAAAAATTTGTATTTGTCAACTACCCAAAACCGAAGAGCTTCCTCTCATGGATAGATTGCATAATGCATTTCCTGAACATCCTGAATGATATGTTGCCAGGAGTAATAAAGCCAAATGATGTTGTTTCTATAGAGTACTTACATTATGATGGTTATTTGGTACGAGCAATGATCACCTTTCAAGATCAAAATTTGGCCAAACTTATCCACATATCAAGACATCTATTCTTAAAGGAAAGGATAGCAATACTAAGATTCTTTGAAAATAGGGTACCATTGATGCCAAACGTGATAAGCCAATGGTAGAAGAGGATCAGGAAAAATCCAAAAAGGAAAACTGACCCCAAAAGGTCTAGTCTGGTAATCACAAACAAGAGACCCCAAAATTAAAAAGGAAAAGCACACCCTTACATGATTTGCAATGCCCTGTGAGCGAGCAAAAGGACAATTTCTTTACAGAAGAAAACACTCTAATTAGTCAATTCTGGTCATTTCCGTCCTCAATCCAAGCTGAAATTTTAGAAAGACTAGAAACATTAAGTGGGTGAACATGTGACACACTGACAGATGCCAGCCATGCCAGCAGAAAACTCCTTCAGTGAAATCTGAACACCATTTAGATCCATGAGTCTTCAGTACAAGCTTAACTGGTTCCCCTACTTTAAGGTAAGGTTGCTCCAACTCTAAATCTCAGCACCCACAGGTCTTCATGCAGTTGTCCAGCAGAAAATGCCGGGTCCAAAGTGTGACATGCAATTTATTTTAGGCTGATCATATGCTGGCATAGTCCTGTGGTTGCCATGGTGCCCATGATGTTCTGAGTGGCTTCTGCTGAGCTTCCCTCAACATGGATGTTGGTCTTTCAGAACCAACAGCCCATGGGGGCTCCTTAACATCTCCACCAGCTCAGGCAGGGTGATAGTTGGGCAGGCAGCAGCATAGTTGGTACATCTGCAGAGTCCGCATCTTGTCCCCTGCACTCAAAGCTAGGTACAAGAACACAAGACCAGGGCTGTTCTGGGTAGAACCGTGGAGAAGGAAACTGAACTGCTCTTCCTAGCCATTAAGTCTGTATTGGTGCTGCACCAATAATCTAGGATTACAGAACTGGGACAGACTGAGTCCCCATCCCCAGCTCATCCACCAAATTATTGATGATGCAAGCCAGGTTGGCTCCTCCCCACATCAGCTGTCACCTGGCAGCAGCCATTCCATTGGCTTACAGCAAAGGGAGAGGTGGGAGGCAAAGCTACTCCACCAGTTCTGTTGAGACAACAGCAATTCTTTGATCCTCCTTTCCTCAAACTGTTTCCATTCCAGCTGATCATATTCAGCTAAAAACCAATGCATGTTTGTTTTTTCCTCCTCCCTCCCAATCCCTTTTCCCTTTGTGTCATGCACCCTAGATATAAGCCTGAGGCAGGGACTGTCATCCCAGATGGGGTTTGCAAAGTCAAATAAACAATAATCTCGTATTAGAGTTGTTTTACCCTTGTATCAGCCTGGCATTTAGCAGCAGCGCCTCAAGATTTGCCAGCTTGTTGATAAAACAGCAAGGGTAATTGTGGATCAAAAGGGACCAGAAGCTGCAAGCAGGCTTTATTTACCTGACCTTTCTTCTTCCCAACTGGCTTGCCCATTAATGAGATTATTGGAACATTCCCCTCACCTAAGAAACTGGCATCATATGCTCTGAGCAGTTACTAAGCAGTAGCATGACATGTGCCATATGAACATAATAAAGGCAAAAACACACCTCCCCCTCCCCAAGGATCATAATAAGCCAATTTTTGCAATCCTCTCTCTTACCAGTGATGGAATGGTCCCTCTTCCTTCCTCATCTGTCAGGCTGGGGCAGACTTCTACTATCTATTTCCTGCACAGTTAGATCCATTCTCATACTAGACCATACGTTTGTTAATGCCATAGGAATGGCCACTCCCATATTCCTTTTGCTCTGAAGAAGCTGAAGGTTGTCAAAACACACATTCGGAGGTCATGAAAAACCACAAATTTAATTCTTGATGAGGAAGAAATGAAAGTATGAAAGAAATGAAGTATGAAAGTGTAGTGTGGAAATAATTGTCCCTTAGCCAATAAAACTTTCCTCTCTCCTGTGGACAGTAGTCTATACCGACACCTTGTCTCTCACATGCCATGGTGGTTTCTTGCTGCTGTCACTGCCTGCCATTTCCCATCACTGTTTCGTCTCAGCAGCCCACGCAGAAGCAAAGGGGCACAAGAGAAACTGACACAAGGATGCCTGGTGCTCCCTGTTGGGCAGCTGGGCTCTTGAGATGTGGTTCAGCGCACAGGGGTCCCCCTCCTGTGGTGGCACTCTGACGGGCTTGCCATAATGTGGACTGGTACATTTCTCTGGGAATCTAACTTAAGGGGAAAGGGAACTGTCACATCTTGCTCTGTGAAGAAACCTAATTAGACAGCTCTGTGGGGGCCTGAGAAGCAGAACACAGTGTGTGAAGAAGGCAGACTTGTATCAAGAGGCCAGGGAGCCTTGTGGCGGACTGTTCAGCGTAGGGTGAATAAAACAGTCTAAACCCTTCCCAAACAAACTGGTAATAGAACTTCCATCAATGCAGGTTTGGAATTAAGTGGACAGTCGTCAAGCAATTATTTGTTGGTGGGCTGTTTTGATCCCAACTCTGGCACACTCTACTGCATGATTCCCTCAATGTCTCTGCTGCTCACCAGCCTTCTCAGTTCAGATGCTCAATATGTAAAAGGCTGGTTTGTAAATGGAAATGTTGCAGTTGACATTGGTGTCGATTGTAAGAGGTGAAGGACAAGCATGATCCCTTTCAGGCTTAGGCCCAGCAAACTGGGGGAGAGCAAGGAGGGTGTGAAGGAGGCTGGTGGGGAATCAGATTGTGGGGTCTGTGTGTGTGTGTGCACACACACACACACACACACGTGTGTTCCTAGTTCCCTCTGCTACCAACTTGCTTCCACTGCCTTCACACTCCAAAGACAACTCTTTCCTCTTTGTGCCTAAAACCCATTAAGGGAGACAATTGGCAGACTTGCCCCAGGGGCACATGGGCAAGGGGGCCTGAACTCTTCTCCCATCTGTGACTTAATCCCCCACAGCCCCTCTTCTGAAGTGCTTTTCTGTCAACCAGGGTCACTTCCAGTATTGCAACCTTGCCTGGAAGAAAAGATACCTGGAGAGAAGGCCTGTGTGGAGGCGACAGGGAGAGTGTTCTACCCTCCTCACCTAAACATGCCCTTTTTACTTTTAAAATTTCCAGGACTGGAGCTCTTCTGTGTCTATACACACTCTGTTCCTAGCACATTCTAGGTTAGAACCCCGTTCCACTATCATTTCTTGCCAGAGTCTTCCACAAGGTCTTCCTGACTTAGTGGGCTGATTCACTCTATGCAAGGGACGCCTAGATGATTCACTGCTGATAGTTTGAACAGACCCAATGGAAAAGCATGGCCTTGACCTCTTGTGGACTGCTCTCATTAATGCTCTTCTTTGATCAGTGAGCGTCCAATCACAGTTGGAAAGTGCCCTCCAAACCTTCAGTCCTGAAGTGATGTCCCTGCCTCAGTTATCTCTAGTGAAACTGAAAATCTCCAGTGAAATTCCAGGCCTAGAGAGGGAGCCATCTGGCAAGGACAGTAGCTCTGCAATGTGAACCAGTTCAAGGTCCCAGGAGGCTTAAAGTAGGTGAGTGACAAACCTAACTAATTGGCAAGACAGTTGCTATTGCCCATTTTTGTTTCTTCTCTCAGAAGAGATATCCCCTGCATTTCTTTCCTCCTCTTCTGCCCTTTAACGTTGTGTGTGAAATTTGCAACCCCTTGGGATCCATTTCCATATTTGCTGTGCCAATTACTCCTATAGCAGGAAATGCCCCTTTAACAGAAAGCCTGGCCAGGTTGACTCTCCAGTGCTTTGTCAACAAACTCATGCATGTAAGCTAATTAAATTACATGCCGTGCCAAATACTAAATCATGTGTCTGTCTGTTGGGGTGGGGGGTGTGGAGAGTGTCTGCCACAGAACTAGCAGTTGTAGATGATTTTCAGAAGAAAAACAGAGAACTGAAAACCTGACATGTCACTAGGCCAAACAAGGCAGTCTGTGGGAAATGCACACAGATGTTGTTTGTGTGGGTCTGTGCCCATTGTGTATTTTTAATATGGAAGGGAGCTGAAGGGAGCTGCCAATTAGATCAAAGCTGTGTGTGTGTGTGTGATTACCCTGTAAACAATTTGTCCACTCAAAATTGCCCTGCATAAGCTGCTTTTCTTCCCATAATGTCAGGGACTGGCAGGACCCTGAGCAGTGTGCACTGGGGGAAGGGGGACTGGAGCGTGATTCGTGAGAGTGGGCCAGTGATTTGTGGGACCTGTACTGGCCAGAAGGCAAGTGTTGGAGGCAAGGGAGGCTTCAGAGCTGGAGGATGGAGGACAGGATGGGTTGGAAGAAGGGGTGGAAGAGGCAGGCAAATGAAGGGCTGGGTGCTCCCCCACCCCCCATCACCCTCTCCTGCACCACTATGTCATGGACTGGTTGGACACAGAGGAATGGTGGGAGAAACCAGCTGGGGAATCACCAAGGGAAGAAGGTTCAGAGCCCAGGGACTGGTGGTGGCACAATCATGAGTGGTCAGAGGGAGAAAACTTGGAAGAGGGGGTGTCAGAAGCTGAAGAGGTAACAGGGAGCCGGGGAGTATATGGCAGAGAGATGTCCAGAATCAGAGGCAGAAGCTGATCAGGGGAGGAGGAAGACCAAGAGGCAGAGATGAGTCAGGTTGGTGAAGAGTCACAGGTGTCTCCCTCTCCTGCTGTGACAAGCTCCACTCCGCACTTATCTCCCAGAAACAGAAGAAGCATAAAAAGGGTGGAGGAGAGGTTGGCTTCATGGAGGCGCAGTCTCTGATTGCTTGGAAAAGGCCCTGGAGAGGAGGGGACTTAGACGGCTGTGAGTAGGAGGGGATCCCTGGGACAAGACCTGCTGGGAATTAGTTGCTGTGCTCATTGGGCCTGACACTCTGCCAAGTCTGTGCAGATTGTGTTCTTGCTAATAAAGAGTTAACTCCAATGTGCATGGTGTGATTTGCTGTTGGCTCGCTCCTGAGGAGGGTATTGAAGAGATAGCTTCCACACAGGCACAGTCTCTGGCTGTGTGTGCGCAGCCCATCAGGGGAAGGTACATAAACTGGTGGAGGGGGAGTGGCCTCCTGTTACTGCAACTGCTTCATAGAGAGCAGACCTGGGAATAGCTGCACAGATTCTAGACTCCTGTGTGTGGGTATTTGGAGCCACAGAAACTACTGTAAGTGTCTGCTTTGGACAATTATGAGTTAACTATGTGCCAAGTGCATTTCTTTGGCTGGGGAGCACCCGTGACACATACGGACAGGATGAGAAACTCTCTCCATCTCTGGCTTGGTCTGATGAGAGTTGGAAGTCCAACAGCATCTGGAGAGGCATAAGCCCCCAGCCCTTCTGTGTGGAGGTGGGGAAGGTGTAGCATAACCTGCTCCCTGCCATGCTACTTAACTGCATGTAAGAGCTAGTTTTTTCCATGCGGCAGCATTCAAAATTATGATCCCCCTCAATCTGTATTCTGATGTAGTGAAGGGAGCAAAACCCTGCCTGGGTGCTCAACTTTCCCTCCTCCACTCTGCTGCCTCAGGCTGTTTTCTCCCAGCCCAACTCCAACACCGATGTGAGGAAACCTGGGGAGATGAAGGGATGGGTTATAGCGGGGGTGGGCACAGTATGGGTCCCAATTTGGCTGGTGAGGTCATTTGCCTAGTACCATGCCCACCTGCCCCACACATGATCAGGTGCAGGCAGGTAGAGTAGTGCTGCAGTGACTGTGCGACCGCACTCCTCGTGGTCTAACGGGCAACGCGTTCAAGTCTGCTGTATAATCTTCACAGTGAGGTGAGGGTTTGGCTCCTCTCACCCACACCTCCCTTTTCATGTGAAATTCAGACCTTCTCATCTCCACTTGAAACATGAATGATGCTGATAGATAAATAAGCAACATCACTGCCTCTGCCATCTCTAGTTTGGCCTTGAATGCTTACAAAATTGTCATGGACTTTAACCCCCCACATTATCTAACCCTGTCCTGGCAGCTGACTCTTAAGCATCCTATGTGCTTTCACGTAAGTGTGGGCCCTGTGTCATGAATTCTGATGTGAATGGCAGAGCAGTTAGTGATGTCCCGGCCTCAAGATCCATGCACACATTCTGCATGCCATTAGGAAAGCAGGACTTTTCATCAGTTAGAATCCATTCCATCCAAAACACACTTTCCTAATAACCTATTAGATGAAACGATGTCAATTCTATGCAATCTAATTATATATGTAGAGCAGCACACTGCAAATTTCCTATCCCATTCCAGCAAGTTGCCAAACACAGGCATAATCTCACATTTCCATTTGGTTGTGGTTTCTAATGTTTGTTTGTTTTGTTTAGTGTGCATTTTTTCAAATATTGGAGCAATTAAGTTGGCGAAATGTACAGAGCTTTGCAAATGTAACTTGGTTTCATTTCCACAAGAAATGAGAAGTCAGGAACATTTACTTTGGAAGACTGAGAACTCTGTTGACTTTATGCACTTTTTTGGAGGGAGGGGGAAATGTCATAGAATTGTAGAGTTTGAAGGTACTCCCAACGATCATCTAGTCCAGTGCCCGGCAATGAAGGAATCTCAAATAGATCATACATGACAGAGGACCATCCAACTTCTGCTTAAAAACCTCCAAGGAAGGAGAGTCCACAACCTTCCAAGGGAGTCAGTTCCACTGTTGAACAGCTGTTACCATCAGAAAGTTCTTTCTAGTGGAATCTGAATCTCCTTTCTTGTAACGTGAAAACATTGGTTTTGGTCCTGGCCTCCAAAAGCAGGAGAAAACAAGTTTGCTCCATCCTCCAGCCCTTTAGATATTTGAAGATAGCTAGCATCTCCTCTCAGGTTCCTCTACGAGGCTAAACATACCCAACTCCCTCAACCATCCCTCATAAGACTTGGTTTCCAGACCCTTTATCATCTTGGTCACCCTCCTTTGCACACATTCCGGTTTGTCAATATATTTCCTCGTATCATTTACAGGATGATACAGATGGCTCACCCTGGCATAGTTCAGTCGTGTAGATGGGTTGGTATCATCCTGCCAAGCAGAGGCTTCTACACCTGACCAGAATTCTGGGGACACAGAGGAGAAGTCAAATTCTTTTTGGCTGGACAATACAGATGACTGAAATATACTGTCCACTTTCAGTATACTGTAGTGGTTTACTTAGTAGAGAATTGCCTTTAATCACCTTTAGTCATTTGCATCTTTACTTTGTGGCTAAGATGGAAGCTGAACCCAGATCTCCACAGCAGAAGTTCATGACCACGCACAGATTAGGAGAGGATGCCCTGAACAACTCATTTCCTATGGATGATTTGAGGAGTGGCAGGACCTCAAACTCTGTAACAATTGCCTCTACAAAAAAGCGCTGCATAGACACCTCCACAATCCTAGGCAGCCACACCTGAAATGTGACAAGCACTACAGGCTCTAAAAGCTATATAATGATGCTTTACGTGACTCAAAGGATTATAGACCAGGAGGTCACAAAGTCCTTTCAACGCCAAAAAGCAGGTTCCTCTACACCAGTAACCTAGAAATTAGTCTGCACAGCCCAAGCCCTTAGCGTGGAACAGGCAGAGGCACTGCCCCAAGGAGCCTACACAGTCGTTAGCTCCTCATGACTAAAACAAATATTTGCATGTGAATGTGCTCAGTTTACCTTTTGGTTTCTGTTTTGTTGATGTTGTTAATATTGTTTCATATATTATAAATGGTGTATTGATTTGTTAATCATATAATAATGACTTTTGCTTTAATTGTGATTCTTAGCTTATTTTTTAGTTGTTGCTTTGTTAACGGTGTTTTATAGATTGTAGATACTTTTTATGCTATATTTGTGATGTATGTTCATCATGTTATTGTTATTTATTGTTTGTAAGCCACTTTTGGATTCATTTAATGAAAAGTGCTTGCATTCATCCCCAGTATCTCCTGGCCTCATTCTTGTTTTATTCCTTTTGCCTCTACCCTCTTCCCCCTCCTCCTCCCTAAATTGAAATGTGGATTAAAAGCTTATTGAGTCAGTTCTGTCTTTTGTTGCATTGCATTGCTCTGTAAAGCATCCTGTACTGATGGTGTATAACAGGATTGGGCCAAAGATACACAGGTGTCCACCAGTTTGCCACTGCCCAATTTGCAGGAGACTCCCAGATGCTTGCTGGTTGCTGGGTTTTATTATTTTTTTTTAAAAAAAGAACATGTCCAAGGTGGGTTTTGTTCCTTGTAAGGCATTTATTATACGCCTAAGCAAGAGAGCATGTTCAGGATCACTGAACATGGATTAGTTTATGCCTAAATTGTTAAGAGATCCTGGAAAACAACTATTGTTTTGTAAAGTCAAAATACATTGTTGAAACACAGTGATTCTAGACTGGGACCATTCTGATCTTCAGGGATGGGCAGGAAAAGGAGAATCAAAATGAGTGAAATTTTTCTCACATTTAGTGGCTTGCAATCTTTCGCTTATTTATCGGGGGGGGGGGGGATACATTAAAGCCATAGATGCATAATTGTTTCCAGGGCAGCACACACCATTATATGAAAAACAATATAAATAATATTGTTTAACAGTATAACAGTAAGAAAAGACTGGAGAAAGAGTAGGCCTCGTCCAATCCATTACTGATCCCAATTTTAACACAAGCCAGAAACGAGACTGAAGTGGATCCAGGTAATTGGTTTCATCCAAGAACTACTGGAGTTTCACTGCAATCATTTGCATATTTGTTGGTTTTTACCTTCCTGCCCTGATACACGCTCTCAGGATGGCTTATAGCAGTTTCCCCTAAGTTTTAACAGTACCATCCCTATGGGGCTCCCAATCTATAAAACCTAATTGCTTGAGCGTTTTGCCCAAGAAGGGGGTGTCTGTAATTGGGAAGGAGATGCCCTGGGGCCTAAGGAGAATTTCTTCAGGAACATTGACACAACTACCTGTCTCAAGGTGATTGGGAATGTCCAATGTGAAGCATTACCGGCAGGTGTCAGCTGCAAGTGGGGGAAGAGTCAATCAAGCATGCAGCAGGCGTTAGTCCTCCAAGCACCTTGTCCACTTCCTCATATTGCAATAACTGAAATCCATTCAATAAAATACCGTACTGCAATCACTCCTACAGAGTAGGCTGCATAATGAGCTTTTATCCATTTTCTCCCACTTGCATTCTAGCCATTTTCCTGTCTATCGCGTTTTTCTCAGCTCTCTCTGGTAAAGCAAACTTTTAGTTAAGTAAGACCATCTGACCTTGTCTTTTTTGCGCTGACTAGTAATAGGTATATACCTCACATCAAACTCAGTTTGACAGCTGATGTCATGTGATGTCATAGGAAGTCCCTACTCACTGGACATTTTTGACTCTACAATGCTCATTCAGAATCGCTTCCATGACTTTACCCCCATCCCAGTTATGTTTATACTTTATAGCTGTTATGTATCCAGCATCTAACTCCCTCAGCCAGTCTATGATATACTTGGGGCACTTGCCACAAATTCTGCCTTAGAGCTTGGCTATGAGGAAGAACCAGATTACTGATGGTGCTGTTGCCATGGTTTCCATGAAAGCAGCACATGACCCAAATGTTTTGATCAAAGGATCCTGTGGAAAGCAGGATATGATACACTGGCAGCTTTAGAAAATTGTTCAGCTGAATTCATTTTCAAAAGGGTATAAAAACAAAACAAAAAACCCCATATTTATTGTTCTGTGATTATAGGACTCACACTTCATTTTGATGACAAAGGTAAAGGTAAAGGACTCCTAGATGGTTAAGTCCAGCCAAACTTGACTATGGGGTGTGGTGCTCATCTTGCTTCAGGCTGAGGGAGCCGGCGTTTGTTCACAGACAACTTTCCGGGTCATGTGCCCAGCAGGACTAAACCGCTTTTGGCACAACAGGACACTGTGGTGGTAACTAGAGCACATGGAAACGCTGTTTACCTTCCTGCCGCAGTGGTACCTATTTATCTACTTGCACTGGTGGGCTTTCGAACTGCTAGATTGGCAGGAGCTGGGAGCGAGCAATGGGAGCTCAGCCCATTGTGGGAATTCAAATCACCAGCCTTCCAATTGGCAAGCCCAAGAGGCTCAGTGGTTTAGACCACAGCACCACCTACTCCCTCTATGACAGACTAATGCAAATTGAGGAAAAAAGCTTTTAAATAAGACAATATTCACCTATTTCCTTTTACTGCAATCTACTGCATGCCTTCTTGAGTCAGTCAAACAGTGGGATACATAACATTTCAAAATGAATTAATTAAAATATTACTATAATTGTTACTATTCATGTGCTTAAAAAGAAGAGATTATTTTCTTTTTTAAAATTGTTTTTACTGAAATATTTTCAATACATATAGAGTACATATAGAGTCTCTCTTTTCAGTTCATAGAGTCCTGTCTACAGGTCTGTTAAATTTGGTGTGAGACACTGTTATCATGGGCACTGTGAGAGGAGAAGGATGTGGCGAGAGAGAGGTGGGAGAAAGAAGGGGGTAGAAGATGACTGTATTTTCAACACATAAAAGGACAAGTTCTGCACAATCTAATTGAGATAGAATTGTAAATAAATAATAAATATATAATACTAATATATATAAATATAAATATATAAATAAATAAATTAGACTAAAAACTGGAAAAGACCAAGAACAATACGTTTTATGATGCAATTGTATGCACCTCAACTCAGAAATATAAATGAATCATGGTTGTTTTAAATTGACAGGTTATTGTACTGTGCTCTGCCCTTAGATTTGCTTGTTTCATGACATTGTCAAGGTACAAAGAGCCTGAAAAACACAGAAACCAAGGAGGAGAAATGTAGAGAGGTCAGAGCTCAAATACTAGTAAAAGCTAAAGAGAATGAATACATTTGAAGGTAAGTCACTGATTCTTACATAGGAAAAGTAACCAGTGGAGTGAATTTGTTTTTAAACATGCAGAAACATCGCCACATCTGCATGCAGAAGACAAGCAGGTGAGTGGTACAATTCAAAGCAAAAACAAGAAACTTAAGCTGGAAATAGGGGAGACTGACTAAGACAGTAATCCAATGCACATTTACCTGGGAGCAAGTCCCACTGAATTTACGTGTATGTTAACATGTATAGGATTATACTGTACAGAGATTACAGTAATCCTTTCAGGACAAAATTAGGGAGGAACTAAAATATAAGCAGAATCAACAGCAAGGGGTTTTTTGTTTTTTTTTTAGCAATATTTGATCACTGAAAAAGATAAGTAAGTAAAGGTGAAATCTGATATGATCAAAAATAATACCAAGCTCTCTAGCCCCAAGAAAAATAAACAAAAGGAAAAGGAAAGGAAGAGTCTGAATGATAAAACAATGAAATCCTCTCTTTGAAAGAAGTGCAGAGCAATTATTCATATGTTTTAACTAGAAGTGGAAGTCCTGGAGCACCTCCAGACTGTCACTATTTTTCATAGAATCAAAGAATTGCAGATTGGAAGGAACCCCTAGTCCCACCCCCTGCAATGCAGGAATCTCAACTAGTCCATACATAACAGATGGCCATCCAACCTCTTCTTAAAAACCTCCAAGGAAGGAGAGCCCACCACCTCCCAAGGGAGTCCATTCCACTGTTGAACAGCTCTTACTGCCAGAAAGTTCTTCCTGGTGTTTAGTTGGAATCTGCTTTCTTTTAACTTGAAGCCATTGATTTGGGTCCTGCCCTCTGAAGCAGGAGAAAGCAAGCTTGCTCCATCCTCCATGGGACAGTCTTTTGGATATTTGAAGGTGGCCATATATCTCCTCTCAGTCTCCTCTTTTCCAGACTAAACATACCCAGCTCTTTCAGCTGTTCCTTGCAAGGCTTGGTTTCCAGGCCTTTGACCATCTTGGTTGCCCTCCTCTATACACGTTCCAGGTTGTCAATATCGTTCTTAAATGGTGGCACCCAGAACTGGACACTGCACTCCAGGTGTGGTCTGAACAAAGGGGCTATGACTCTCTCTTTTTTCAATTACATTTTCCATAGCTCAGTTTCATTTGTTTAGACATTAGGGTTAAATTAGGAAGAAAAGGGGAGAAGAGGTGGAGGGTGCCACGGTGGGTGGGGGTGGGGTCGGGAGGCGACGTTTCTATTTTGCTTAATGTATGTGTGGGGTTTTGTGTCAGCATCATTTGTGCAGGTTCTGTTTGCTATTCACTTGTGTTCCTTTGATGGTGAGAGAAATTGGGTTTGGCCTAGGGTGCGGTTGCTTGTTTGTGGTTGGCTGTGGTGAACTTTGTTTTTGTGTGTGAGTGGTGTGTGTGTGTGTGTGTGTGTGTGTGTTTGAATCAGGTTAGCCATATTGATTTGTATGCTGTTGGTGGATTCTTGTCGTTGTCTTGTTGGGCTGTGTATGGTTGTTGCAGCCTTGAATAGCACTAGGGCAGGTTGTACCCCTCAACCTGTACCCCTCAATCCCTTTTGCAGGCGTTTGACAAGTTAAAGTGTATTAAAGGGCCCTGATGCTCTAGCACAATAAATGCAACTTAAAAAACAACCAGACTTTTTGCAGTTTAGAAAGTGATGGAGACATGCACTGAAAAGTGTGGGAAGAATAAATGATTAATGGGAAAGACATGGGGACAATAAAAAGGAATGAATGCAGGATGAATGCTCATTGTCATATATTGGGGGAAAAAATTTGGATGAATGAATGCTCAATAAATACTTTGAGAAAGCAAATCAGGTGAATGCTTTATAAACAGGTTGTCTGGAGGGAGCTGTACTGTGTGCAATGAGGTTTACTCCCAGGTGGTTAGTATAGGATTGCAGCCTGCTCAAAAAAAGTAGAAAAGAACTGAATACTGCTGGCAGAGAGAAGATAATTAATGCCAAAAATGCACAAGAGGTTTGAAAGGGCAAAAATAAAGGATAAAAAGCACAAAATATGAAATTGAGCCTTGTGGAACCCTGACAAACTGATTAAAGAACTATTAACAGAAACATGATGTATACTTAGAAAGATAAGAGGAAAAAGCCAAGACAGAACCGAACTGTGAAAACCAAGTTCATACTATGAAAATGATCAGAAACAATGAAAGTGAGGATATATCAAGAAGATTAGTTAATGAAACAAACAGCAATAACCTATACTCAGGATCTGCCAGGTGAAGGGTTTGGTAGTGGCAAGATGCCACTGTGGCAGCTATGCTGGAAGAGCACTCCAGCAGGGCTGTTCTGCCCGCAAAGATATACCAGCACAATGGCTAAAAGCAGGTAGGGTCAAGGGCAGGATGGGGTTGGAACAAAGCAGGAGCACACTTATGCCCTAACCTACATTCCTCCAAATTGCAGACATGACTCCATCAGTGGTGCAACTTTACATCAGCCCTAGATCTGGTGCAAGAAAATCCCCACCGTAGACTTAAGTGGGAGGGGGAAATGTAAATGGCCAGCCCTGCAGCGATAGCTGCCCTGCCCACACCACCACCACCGAATGTAAAATATGGTGTAACTCAGCGCCCAGTGCCCTCCCACACCCTCCACACCACAGAGGATTTATACTGGACCACGCACAATTACACTTCTTAATGGTTGCATTTTTGCCACATTACTGCCATCTGGAGCTGCACAGTTGCCGTTTCACACAACAAAAGTGGAGCCCTCACCCCGAAGAACACTTGCAGAATGAAAAGCTGCAGGATTTCAGCAGGAAGCTATAGGACACACTGGCGCTTGGGACGGCGCAAGTGTTGCACCCTCCTGATGGACTGGGCAGCGGTCAGTCCCTTCGCTGGCCAGCATCTATTCAAGGGAGTCTCTCTTTTCAAACTAGCCGCAACTTGGGATCAGAGATAAGGCAGAGGAACGTGAAGCAGGAGCACCACTGTGTCCCTTCACCCTCCTGTCCTTGCAGCGAGACCGGCTGGCCAACCCGTGTGGCTCCAGCCGTGCTTTCCCACCTCCCTCGTCCCCCCTCCCTCCCTCCTTGGTGGGTGGCGGCGGCAGCACCCTCCCCCTCTCGGCCTGCCTCCCTTCACTGGCCATGAGAAGAAGGCACCACCACCTCAGCCCCAAAGGCCCAGGCTGGGCAAGTCTTGCCTCCCTGTGGCTCTGGCCTTGATGTGGAGCCTGTCATGAAGGTGCCTGGCTGCGCCCCCTCATAAATTTGTATCCAGGGCCATGGCCCCCCACGCTACACTACTTCTAAGGGCCCAGATCCTTGAGGGATTGCTGGCTCCCTAGAATGCCTGCCCAAATATTAAGGTCCAGTAGGGACACCCTCTTAATAGAGGGTTTGATATGGGAAATATGACATTCTCAGAAGATTCAACTGGCACAAACCCTGATAGGTTTCAAACATCAGTTAAAAACGTTTGTCCAAGCTTTTGATTAAGGTGGCTGTGGAGGTGGGTAGCTGCTCTCACAGAATCTGTTGATTTAAACTGCTTCTTTTATGTGACTGATAAATGTATTATGCATTATTTTTGCATATTGCACCCCTCTCTGGGGTAGTTTCAATGAAGAGCAGACCATATATTGCCTAGATAAGGAACAATAAAACAAATAACTGCCTTCCCTACACAGGTTTCTGCACACTTGCATGCTCCATGGAAGACGATTATTGGGTAGATGAGACACCTGGGATGCTGCTGTCAAGCAACTCCACACAAAGGTGCAAAAGCCCTGCTGGCACCCCCACATATGTTTCAGAATCTCCTCCATCCTGGATGCTACCATTGCCTCGAGTTGTTCCTTTGTTGCTGGAGGTTGGGAGATGGGATCCTTTGCCCCCATCATAACACAGTCTGGCTTCAGTTGGCTGCATGGGAAGCTGTCAGGGACTGGACTGAGGAGGAATGACAGAGACTGCCCTCCCTCCTCCTGAAACGTCCAGAGAAGAGGGAGACAATATAGATTTACAACAGTGGTTTGCAGAAGGTCACGACTCTGAGACAGAAGCGATAAAAAAGCTGGGAGATAATGGGAGAAGAGGAGGGGGAAGGAGCAGAGCTGGAGCAGCTGGCTGACACCGGATCACTAGAAAGCATTCCAGGCCCTCCTTCTCCCAGAACCCGGCGAGCAGTGAAAGTGGGAGAGCAGAGAGCTAAGAGGCAAATGGCCTTAAGCAGCCACCATAAAGGGGGTAGTGCTGTTGATGACTGCAAAGGGAAGCAGGGAGGAGATTACTCTGAGCAACACCATTAACCTGGCAGGCAACGTTTCTAAGCTGCTCTCTGTGAACATGGAATAAAATACATTGGTAAGAACTCCTTGTCTATCTATTACTGGCAGCCTGCTGTGAGGGAGAGGGATCAGATTCCCTGTAGCCTGACAGAAACCCAGCCAGATGGACAGGGCATTATTATTATTAATGCTGAGGGTGTGTGTGTGTGTGTGTGTGTGCGTGTGCATGGAGCTTGATGCGTGCAAGAGCGGCAGTCCTTCTGTGGCTGGCTTGCTCAGATTCTCTGAACTGTGGGGGGACAGGCCTCTCAGAGCACACAAGTGGGATGGTTGCTGCTGCAAGGGTGTATGAGACAGTCTGAGGAAAGGGATGGGCTGTCAGGTGTGCTGGAACACTCACGGGCAAGGCTGGGCGGAGATGGGAGGGAGGGCTGGTCAGATGGGTTGCCAGTGGAAGGAGTGTGTCATGCAGGGTGGATTTCCCCTGCAGCAGCCAAGCCATTGATCCTGATGGACTCAGCAGTATTTGGGGGGGGGCATTTCCTGGTGTGGGGCTGCATTCTGCACATGCTGCATGCACAATGGGAGATGTTCCACTTTGCTATAGATCTACATACAGCCCTCTAACTGTTGCATCAATGACTGTGTCTTGGAGTTGAGTGGAATGGGAACTTCCTTTTTTTGGAATAAATGTTATTAGATTTTATAAAGAGATACAGGCTGTTCAGTGGAGTTTGCCATGTGGGGTTGAGTCCACAGGGGCGCCATCTAATTTGCACCCACCCACCCAACTCAAACGCCCACATCCTGCTTCACAGATTCTGGTCTTTTGAGTCTGGGCCAGGTATAAAGATCTTTTGGAGAGGAACACTCCACTATGGTTATCACCCTTAGAGGACTGCACTAAAAAGAAATTAATATGAAGGTGGGTTGGGGTACCTATAGAGATTAACTAAGTAGCACTCAAAGTGGGTGGAAACTTAAAAAGCAGGAAAAATACAATGATGGGTGACCGGTTGGTTCCACTATCATCAGATACATGAGCTATATTAAAAAGATGTGTTGATTGGCTTTTAATGAACAAAGGTTGGATTTTGAAAGGAGATTGTTGGAGGGTAAAGAGAAATTAATTTCTAAAATGTATAAATTGTCATTAGAATGGGAAACAAAAGATGAACTGGTGAAGTCAGTGATGACATATTGGACTAAAGATTTAGGATATAATATTATGACTGCATAGGAGGGACGCAGGTGGCGCTGTGGGTTAAAGCCTCAGCGCCTAGGACTTGCTGATCGAAAGGTCGGCGGTTCGAACCCCCGTGGCGGGGTGCGCTCCCGTCGTTCGGTCCCAGCGCCTGCCAACCTAGCAGTTCGAAAGCACCTCTGGGTGCAAGTAGATAAATAGGGACCTCTTACCAGCGGGAAGGTAAACGGCGTTCCGTGTGCTGAGCTGGCTCGCCAGATGCAGCTTGTCACGCTGGCCACGTGACCTGGAAGTGTCTGCGGACAGCGCTGGCTCCCAGCCTTTAGAGTGAGATGAGCGCACAACCCTAGAGTCTGTCAAGATTGGCCCATACGGGCAAGGGGTACCTTTACCTTATTATGACTGCATGGGAGAAACTATGGAGAGTGAATTTGAAATTCACTATGTGCTACACTGTGAAAGAAAATTATATGAAAATGATGTATAGGTAGTATTTAATGTATAAAACAGCATCAAGTACTTGTTGGAAGTGTAAGTGGTCTGAGGGGTCATTTTATCATATATGGTGGACTTGTGGCAAGGTTAAAGGTTTTTGGGACATGATATACAATGAATTGAAAAAGATGTTTAAATTGACCATTCTAAAAAAACTGAAGCCTTTTTGTTGGGGATAATAGGGACGGTAAATCCCCAAAAGCTGAAAACCGTTTTATGTATGCAACAACTGCAGCTAGAACTTTATATGCACAAAAATGGAAAGATGAAGTCAAAGAGACTCCCAACTAAGGATGAATGGCTTATAAAACTGATGGACTATGCAGAAATGGTGAAACTGGCTGCTGAAATAAGAGGACAAAATGATATTTTCAAAGAAGAATGGAGGCCATTGATGGACAACCTATTGAATTATCATTCTTATATGAAATCACGTGCAGGATTTGAGATATGAGCAATGGAAGAATGTAGAGAATGGATTTTGGGGGCTTAGAAAATAAACATAGATGTGTTTTAATGCAGCTGTTAAAACAATCCAGGTAGGAGGGACGGCAAGTCAAGAAGGTGTGTAACAAAAAAATAATATATATGATTGGAGTTGTGAAATAATTTGGAAAATTTAATAAAAACGATTATAAAAAAGAGAGATCACAGATTCTGCTGCATTTATTCCTTTTTTGTGGCTGCATGTGTGTTTCCCCCTCCCAGGCCTTCTCTCCTAACCCCTCCCCCATGTCATTTGAGGACATGATTGCTCTCTTCTGTCTTGAATGGCAGTGTTTGTGTGTATCAGATCTTTTCTAATATGTGGCTAGTTACAACAACTCCTTAGCTCAGGGGTAGGCAAACTAAGGCCCGTGGGCTGGATCAATCGCCTTCCCAATCCGGCCCGCTGACGGTCTGGGAATCAGTGTTGTTTTTACATGAGTAGAATGTGTCCTTTTATTTAAAATGTATCTCTGGGTTATTTGTGGGGCATAGGAATTCGTTCATATTTTTTCCCCAAAACATAGTCCGGCCCACCACATGGTCTGAGGGACAGTGGACCGGCCCACAGCTGAAAAGGGTTGCTGACCCCTGCCTTAGATGATGATTTTGTACCACTGACAGTGGGTTCTGAATATAATCTCTTGGATTGTTAATATTTAAATAGCAAGAGGGCTATAAAAAGCTTCTATGAATATAGATGTTATGCTGAATATTTTAAAGACAGGCTTTAACCATCTGTTGGCAAGCACTGCTTACTATAGTGTCTTTTTAAATTGTGGCGGATCCCTGAGGAAGAAATGCTGCTTGAAACACGTTGGGGGAATGTGTTTAGAAAAACTTTGAAGAAAAAGGAAACTATAACAAACAACTTTGATTTACTGCCTTCTCAGTGTGTTTCTGAGCACAATTCATAAGTGTTGGTGCTGATCTTTAAAGCCCCAAACAGTCTCAGCCCACTATACCTGAAGGAGCGTCTCCACCCCATCACTCAGCCCACGCACTAAGGTCCTCCTCCAATGGCCTTCTGGCAGTTCCCTCCCTGCGAGAAGCGAGGTTACAGGGAACCAGGCAGAGGGTAGTGGTAGCCTGTCCTGTGGAATGCCCTCCCATCAGATGTCAAGGAAATAAACAACTATCTTACTTTTAGAAGACATCTGAAAGCAGCGCTGTTTAGGGAAGCTTTAATGTTTGATGCTTTATTATGTTTTATATATTCTGTAAGCTGCCCAGAGTGGCTAGGGAAACCCAGCCAGATGGGTGGGGAATCAGAATCATCATCAACATCCTCTACTCAAGTTGCTGATGTCAATAAATTCATATTGATAATTTCTGATGTTTTATTCATATCAAAATCCAGTTTCAAGGTGTCAGTATTCCATCTTTGTGTCTGAGGCTTCCTTATCCACCCTATTTTTCCAAGAGGAAAAGCCATGCCCTCCCTTTGGAGACAGGCTGGTTGGAGCCATTAGGTTGCTCCATGAACCTGCTGCACCATGTGACTGCAGCTGCAGGACCCCCTGGGACAGCATGGAGGATGCTCAGGAGCAACTGTCAGCTCTGTGAGAGTTGACACCCCACATCCTCTTTGCCATTGCAAGGCAATCCAGTCATACCACTTAGATCCCCTGCCTGTTTCACGGGTAATGTTAGGGGCTGCCCAGGTCCTGGGTCTTTTGTTCTTGACCCTTCCTGCTTTGTTTTAATAGATCGCTAAAAATATTTTTATATCTTGATTTTATTCTGTGAATCGCCCTGAGACCCCGGGTATAGGGTGGTATATAGATTCTAATCATAATATTTATACATATTTATAAATACTGCCTGGGTGCAGTGCTAGTGAGACTCCCACCCTCCAGCCATGTTGATCCAAATTGTATGCAAATCTGTGCCCTGAGCCTGCGCTCCCCGCCATTTACATCCCCACCAACATCCCCCTCTGTTTCGTGTAATATTCCTCAAAGAACAGACACATCTCTTGGATCTGCTTGTGCCAGTTGTACCAGCCCTGATCTGGAGTGAAGGAAATCTTACCTTGTAAAAAATCGCTCGCTCTCGGGGTTTCCCCCCCAATGGCCAATGCAGAATTCATAAAATGAAATGTTTTAAGGGCTCAGCTTTGCCACCTTGACCACACCTGTTTAGCGGGGAGGGGGTCACCAGGGCTCTCTCCGGACTGGTTCACACGTGCAGCTGATGACAGCAACATCAGACGGTGCGCGAACGAGCCAACCCTGACCTAACACCACGGAGAGCATTCTTGGATCTCCACTGCCCACTTCCCCTTTCCCGAAGGGAACACTGGTCGGGCGAGCGTTCACACGTTCAGCAACCGAGGCGTGTAGCGGGGCTGCGAGGGGAAAGGGGCGCCCCGAAATCCACCCGGGGCCGGGGCTAAGCCGGGGCGCGCGGGGGACACATTCTGGCTGC